TCTAGAGTACGATGCTAACTCCCTCCTCTACGTGTCAAAGGCAATGGATCTGTTCGACCTCGGGAAGAAGAGCCAGCTGCGCACCGCCGCAAAACGTGCAAAAAACGAGGCGAAGCTCACTTCGCACGTCAAGACAACGGACGACCCTCAGTGCAGCTTGACTCTCCCCTCGGCACCGTACCAAGAGCAGCCTCGCGACACAGTAGATCTCAAACCGGTCGGAAACCACCCGCCGCAGGATTTGATCGATGGTTTGAGTCCACTGAGGTCTCACCCTACGTTGGTGTTGGGGGTTACGAGCGATATTTTGTTTCCGGCATGGCAGCAGAGAGAGATTGCGGATTCGCTCAGGTTGGCAGGGAATAGGAATGTCACACATGTGGAGCTTGGAGAAGATGTTAGTTTGTTTGGACATGATAGCTTTTTGTTGGATTTGCAGAATATTGGAGGGAGTGTGGGGAGGTTTTTGGCGGATTAGGTGAGGTTGATACCAGGGCAGTGTGGAGAGAACGTGTAATTGAGAACTGTTGTTGGATGTTGGATGGTCCTGTCGCGAGGAAGCCATGTTCCTGGAGTCAGGTTGTGTTAAGCTAAGTACGGGTGTTGCAACAACAATGTATCCTTTAATTACTGCTCCCCGAGTAACACCCTTTCGGGCCGTCGGATATCCGAATTTCGTAACGAGTGATATCCAGTGCCCTCCGCGCAGAGGCAGCAGTCAGAAGGGTTCTGGGCGGGCTCCTCGCCTGTCGTGGCCCCCGCTTTTGACAGCGGGAGATCGACGGCTAGCAGTGTGCACTAGCAACCCGAGTGCGGCCGCTTCAAGCCGCAGGCAGCAATGCACTCCACATCCTCAGCGTCATGGTAGGCACCCCCCGCTCTGACTCACCAGGTATGATGGGAATGGATGATGACTCCCATAAGGCATTCTCAGCACCCCGCATCATCTCGCTTCGAATAATTCTCCCTGGCTCTCAAGGCTTCAGCTGCAAATGTGAGGGACAGCGGTGTGCTGTTGGAGCCAGTAAACAGGTGCTGTTTGAAAACCTGGGGTGACTGTGCCGAGAGCGGCGGCTTTGGGGATGCACGATCGCTTGCAACCACTGGATCAGGCGAAGGGAGAAAACGTCATCTGTCATCCTCGCCTTAACGAAAACCTCCTCCTGACAGCTTTTTGTTTGGCACATGCCGCAAGCGGAGATTATGACGCGATTGGAGAAAATCTACCGTACCGTAATGTGTGCAGGAAGAACGTTCAGACAGTTCCTATTCGCCCGGCCGATAAGTATTTGAACGAATTGAAGCTGTCACTGGGGTTCTTTCGGGTATGCGAGCTGCACGAGCTTCGCGGGTTCAACCCAGATAATGGAGGAAGCAAGTGCACTGCCCATGCCCACCACCAAGGAACCCCTCCCTCGACCGGCATGGTAGGCAATGCAGGTCATCATAGGCTGCATTTTTTTTTGATTGCTGCGATTGTATTTGACGTTGGGGATCGTCATGTTGAATTTTGTTCAGGACTGTTGGTGTTTCTGTTGTGTTTAATGTTGTTTGATAGAGTGTTTCAGTCTGGTTCCCAAGCAAAACATTAACTCGGCTCAGCAGAAATATGCTGCCGGGTAAATTGTTCAATTGCTCCTGGGTGCTGTGTTTACTCTTCTAAGGTTCTGAACCCAGATCTGCGTCGCTAGTCGCATAGACAGGTTAAGGTTGATTTTCGCATGCGCATGACGATTCGGATCTTCCTCCTCTAATCGTCCAACTTTTGTCTTTTCTTATCATCGAACTTTTTCTGAGGGAACCCGCCCGAACCCCCATCACCAGCATCGCGAAATTACACTGGAAAAGCCAGCGAGCCAAACGGCTGCCCACAGTCCCAACCCAGGTGTCCGTTGCCCTGCTGCCCCGTCGGAACGTGTTCTGGTGTAAGGCTGACGAGGTTGGGTCTACAGGTACCGTGCCGTCCGTCTACATTAATTGCTTCCGCGGTCCAGAGTAACCATCCACCATCCATCCTCCCTTCTTCCCCGACGACTCCGCAATCACCACGCTTGCTCCTATCATCATATCCTTGCTTACCAGTGTTCATATCGCCAGCAGAGTGCTAGCTACAGCTTCACGATAAAGGCCGAAGGATTTCGACCCGGACTTTTTGAACGTGGATAGCTCTCTCGACCGGCAGACCGCGACGACTCGGACTCGACGACGCAACAGAGGAGCATGCAGCCCAGGTATGGCCAACGTACCTACTCCACCACCGACCTTTCATCTTCTCCATCCCCCATCAAACGGACAACTATACGGGCCCAGGCTAAAATCGACGGGATCTTCAGGAGAGAATATAACATTGTGGTTTTGGGTGCCGGTATGGAGTTGATGTTTTACGTACCTTTCCTCGCGTATTTTGTTATCGCGAGAAAAGAGTGTCCCGGCTAAAATTTTCTTTTGCCTCTGCGTTTCTTCGTGAATATTAGGTGGTGTTGGTAAAAGCTGCTTGACAGGTATTATCGCCGCTACCCCCGTTTTTTTTTTTTTTTCCCCTGAGAGTGTGTCGTGTGCTAACCGGGTTTTCCACCAACAACAGCTCAATTTGTTCAAAATGTGTGGATCGAATCCTACGACCCGACAATCGAAGATTCATACCGTAAAGTGGTTGAAGTAGATGTATGTCGCTCGGCCGCAGAAAAACCCCGCCATTCGATGAGCGAGCAAGCAGAGACGCGACGATGATGGGATGGGAACTCTTGAGCTAACGCTATTCACAGGGGAAGTCGTGCGTTTTGGAGATGTAGGATCCCAACTGATGATCCTGTTCTGAGGAGATGAATCATGGGACGAACTGACGTTGCTCGCCTTCCACTCTTAGTTTGGATACTGCAGGAACCGAACAGTTTAGTCAGTCATACACCTCCCATTGATTGTTTTAAGGCAACCTTCTAACTCTAGTCCTTTTATTAGCTTCCATGAGGTATAATCACGTGTTGAACTACTACTGCTGCTGCGTTTCAGTTTTGCTAATGCTAACCCTTCTACAGAGAAATATATTTGAAGACTGGTAATTGTCGCCTCCCTTTACCAATACCTTGCCTTGCTCTAACCCCCGCATAGGCCAGGTAACACATTCGACACCTAAGGGAACGCACCGCCTTCACGCAGCTAACCCCCGCGTCACCATTCAGGGCTTCCTCCTGGTCTACTCTATAACCAACCTCAATTCGATGAACGAGCTCACGGCGATCCGCGACGCCATTCTGCGCATTAAAGAAGTCGACGAAGTCCCATTGGTAATTGTAGGCAACAAAGTGGACCTGGAAGGAGACCGGCAGGTTTCACGTAACAGAGCGAATCATATGAGCCGGAAATGGGGCGGCGTACCGCTATTTGAGGCTTCAGCAAGGAAGAGGCAGAATGTGGACGAAGCGTTTCTGACTTTGACGAGGCAAATGATGAAGGTATATTCGGGACCCGCTGGTGGCGCTTCAGCGTTAGCGGCGGATGCGGGGGGAAGTGGTGGAGGTGCTGGTGGGAGGAAGAAATCTAAGAGGATATGTATTATTTTGTGAGGAAGGAGGGAGTGCTTTTTTTTTTTTTTTTGGTCAAGCGAGGAGAAAGAAGGTTATAAAATTTGGATATCCTGGATACGCACTTTTTTTTTTTTTTTTTTTTTGTGGACTGGCGGGGGAGGGCGGAATATATAGTAATGCTGCTTTTTCGTTGTTATACTTTTTTTTTTGTACAGGAGTTTTGTTTGCTGCTGCGCAGAATTTTGTACTTACGATAACTTATTTTGGAGTTGGTGATGAAATGTTTGGGGAAGACCCTGATTTGCTACAATGCTGTACCGGCTTACATGCAGATGATCGACTCGCTTAAGGCGGTTGCAGGATGTTCTGGCCAGTTTGGGGAAGACCGAAAGTAAATGCAAATGCCTCATCTTTACGTATATACTTATTCATGCCCCCACAAAACGTCTAGGTTACTGTATACCCCACAATCGACTAACTATACCTTTCTCCACGCATGACAGTTGTCACAGTGGTCAATTGCGGATAGAGGACCTTGCTTGCGGTGACGGATCCGGACATGAATTCGAAGGCAAAACTGTATATTGCAACCTCTAGATTTCAGAAAAGAACAACGACACATCCTTTCTGGAATTTGTGAAGTGTTGGTGATCCTGCCAAATCGAAGTGCCCAAGGACTTAATCTTGCTCGCGTACTCTTATTTTCATACCAGGGTGGATTGATGAGTTGTGTGATGCACCGGCGGTCAATCCCCGCCCGTCACGGTCAGGATGTTGTACCGTTGTCATTCGAGCCAGTCACCTACTATACAAAAAAAAAGGGTTGGGGGATTGACGACGGGTCCTTAGTAGGTTTTAATTGTATAATCGTTGTTGGTGCCGTTTTTGACCGTACCCAAATTATCCAAAGGTTATAAAAGGACAAAACCCTCTCTTCTTTCGTACTGTAATTAGGCGGCCAAAAACAACTGAGTTGCACCTAAAAAATCCGCTAGTTATTTTTGACCGGCCGCCTACGGTTGAAAACTCCGTGTTCGATACATACCTTAGCTATAGAGGAGGGTTCAATTAAACCTGTAAGCCCTATTGAAACCGTTTTTGTCGTCTGTAACCCTTTTATCATTCATATATCATCCTTATGAAAGGCTTTACTTCAAGATAAGTCTTGTCGATATACTTTTATAAGCTTAAGGGTGACAAGTGAAAAACGTCTTTTAATAGGTTTACAGGTTTTTTGTCGGCCCCTCAATAAGGTAAGTAGCGTATTATCTGACCGTATCCGGTTTCTTTGTAGCTCCGATCCGTTGCTCGTGCTGGCTTGTATGCATCTCCGCACCGCCATCGGGGTTGCATATGCCACCTGCGGCACTACAAAACCGGATACAGTACCTTGAATTCCGGTTCTGCGATCGTGTCTTAAATTTGAGCTTTTTGACCAGCACAAAATCACGGCGGAAAAGGCGGAGATAAGCAATATCCGTTATGGTGTAGTGGCTAGCATCGGCCGCTCTCATTCATTCATTCCCAGAGCATTAAAACCGGCCAGACCGGGGTTCGATTCCCCGTAACGGAATGTTTTCTTTTGCCTTTTGCTCTTGTCATGTCTTTTGCCATAGATAGCCGTGGCTGGCGATATGTATAGTACTCGAGTATGTAGGACTACGTGGCGTGGCGTGGCGATCGGTTCGGAGGCGGAAGTCTCGGCTTTTCGGTGATGCAGGCTGAACTCTTGGGGAAGGCGGAGGCGGGCACCGGCGGCGGCGGTCATAGCTTTCCTAGCCCCTAACCCCTGCACGGGAACTGCCCCACAGTTCGGGAAGAAAGGCTCGTTGCGGTTGTGATCCTTGCCGACTGACATTGGAGCCGCGCAATCGAATCGGATGGGGTTTCTTAAACCGAAAAAAAATAAAAAATAAAATAGGAATATAGGAATGGGAATATGCAGACCATACGTACGTATGCTGAAAATAATACTCCAATATATTTAGGTAGAGGTAGGCTGGATATATATTGGGATCGTTGCGTGGGTGTGGTCAAAGCGTTAACCGAACGAAGGGGAGGGAGCCTCAGAGCCTTGTTTTTCATGACGGAATCAAACGTTGCTGGCACCGCTTGGAAAGAACCGATGTTGTGCGTCTATCAAACGAAGGAAAACGAGGCTCCGGATAGTAGAGAATAGTGGGCAGGGTAGAAAGACGTCACCAGTGTCACCGCAAATGCTTTAAAACAAAACTCACCGAATGTTGGCGCCCTCACCGCCCTTACCCCCCCTTACCCCCCTCACCCCCACCTATATGGCCATCTGAGTTGGCCAAACAATGACGACTGACTGGAAAAGAGCCGAAAAACACACATGCTGATTTTTGGGGGGGGGAATGAGACACAGCCACCCGCCAGCAAAGAGATGATGTTTTTTGAGTTTTTTGGCGTCATAAGGGATGACCTGGGGAAACAATGATGTTCTTTGGCTTTTTGAGATCTGAGATGGTGATGGGCTGATGAAGCGATGGCGGATACAGGCAGCAGCACAACATCAGCATTGCCGTGACGGGTATCTCAATGCGGATGTAGAATGTAGAAATCCATTGTAACCGAACGAGAGAGAAAGAGCGGTACTTTTGCTACAAGCCACTGGATGTAGTCGTCGCTTGGTTACTCCCGTGATGCACCATTTCGAACAGTTCCCTTTCGTCGTCTGTCTCAAGCTTCCTACTGCATGAACGCGCAGTAATCCGCAGCAGCAGCCAAAAAAAAAAAACAAGGACGGATCGATTTGCTGGCGGATTGACTGGCTGGCCGGCCCCGGGAAACCTAGCAAGGTATGTACCTCTAGATAGTTTAGGTTGCTGCGGCGCTTCCAGCTACACTTGCATCTTGCCTGCAGAATATACCATATACCGAACAGTTTCCCGACGACAATCTACCCTTTCTTACTAAATCCTAAACCCACAACAACACATCTCGTGGTGAACCGACATTGGTTCGTAAACCCTGGAACCTACCTCCCCCCTCTCCCCACCCAATGCTGTCGGTCCATTTGCACTGCTGCAATGACTGGGATCATTGCGTTGGCTATATGGGGCTGGTGAAGGAAATTCCCATGATGGCCATTCCATTTTTTTGCCAGCCTTTTTTCTTTTTCTTTTTGTGCCCTTTCCCGATGGATGACTCCGGTCAATGGAGGGGTTCAGGTCAGTGGCAGGGTCAGGATTTTGATGTCCTTGGTGGGAAATCTGTACATGTGAGAGAGAAGGGTTTATATATCCCAGGTTTATATATCCCATATCATCGGCAGCCTATTTTTTTCTTTGAAATCTTCTCCCTTTTCCTTTTTGATATTTTCCTAACCAACGGAGAAACACAACATTTCGACCTTTCCTCCTCATCACAATGTGTTGTATCCCCTGGTGCTACACCTTCTGCTGCGAACCCCGCCGTATCTACCGTCTCTACAAACGCAGAAACCAACGCGGCAGCAGCAGCAGCGGAGACAGAAGCGACAACAGTACCGGATCATCAGAAAACGCGCGGATCTACACCGAGAAGCGGCCGAGAGAACAGAGGAGAAAAAGAAGGAGCCAATCTACGGGACGTGAGAAACGGAGGAAATCTCCATCTTCTTCTACAGAGGGTCATCACCACCACCATCATGGTACACCTCATATCATTGTCGCACCGGTGATCCCTCCTCCCCCTCCCGCGGCGAGCTTCGAGCAATGGAATCAGGATCCTCCCGCTGAGGAATTTGAGGTTTTTGCAAGACAACAACCATCACCCCCGACCCCGGCTGCTCCGATATCTCCGCCCACCCCCCCACCGACGGTTCCAACATCCCCGCAACAACCGAGACCACACACCCCT